CCAGCGCTGCAACGCGCGATGGCGCGAGGCGGAAAGTTCTCCTTGTCGTGAGGAGGGGCGAGGGAGAGCTCTGCCACGCTGTGCGCGGACGATGTCACGGCTTCGAGTAAGTCGTCCTCGGTCGGGATGCGCACGCGCTTGAGGCTTGTACAACGGGCGAGCATGCGGCAAAACTCATCACGGTATGTGGGGAATTGGAGGTCACTCATGTCGACGGTCGTCATCTTGGTGGCCCACGTCGCAACAAAGCTGCAGAAGGGCAGACGAAAGGCAGGGTCGCCACTTGCTGGCCAGTGTTTGCTCAAGCAGAAACCGTTGATGCACGCAGAGTTGAAAAGCGAGATGGCGGCGCCGATACAGTCAATCTCGTCGTAGGTAGCGCTGTAGAGCGATGGTGTGGGCCAGTGCTTGGCGCCACCCGACATTTCCAACAGCTCGAGGAGCGCGGTCAACGCTGGCGTGCGCATGGCTAGCGGTAGCGCTCGCACAAATGTGACAACATCGTCGGCATCTTGCATGTACTGGAGAATGGTGACGGGCACGCCGTCGACATCGAGCACCGTTGGTCGACTTGGGCGCGGCCGCTGGGCCATCGCGAGGAAGTCAGTTTTTGCCGTTTACGGATGATGACCATTATCCGGATATCCTAACGCCGATGTCATCACCAAAATTGACAAGACCAATACTTGAAATGGTGAGCTCGGACCACGGACTGAGCTCGGACGAGCATTTTCGTCTATTTAGAACACTTGGTGCATTTGACCTAGCCAGACTCGCCACCTATACTCAACGGCCGTTCATTTAAATTACTTTAAAAATCGATTTCACGAGCAGAGACGCTCTTCACTTGAGGCCAACGCTACGCGGTATTTTAAGTATAGTTTATATATAGTACGTAAACCCTTATATAACCTGGAGGCGCTTGGTGACGAGTGTCTGCTGGAAGAAGAAGACGTCGGCCCACTTGTCGTTGGTAGCTTAGAGCACACATCTGTGTATGCGGCATGAAGACTCCCGCGACCGACCGAACATGGTCATCATATCGTAGAACTGCCGAGGGTAGGCCAAGCGGTTGGGAGCAACGCAAAGGGCCTTGACAGCGAGGCATCCACCCCAACCCTCGGTGATAACAACGGCCGGGAGTTGGAGAGCACGTGAGAGGCGCGTCAAAGAAGCCACGTGAAAGCGGAGGTGCATGATTGCATCGGCGTCGTTTGTCGAGTCGAGGTGGAGGCGCGAGTCCGGAACCAACGGCCGCTCACGCTCAATACCGAGAGGAGCAGCTCGAGGAACTGACGGCGGCGGCGACGAGACATACGGCGACTATGGTGAAGCAGCACCACAAGGTAGCGGGACGACAACATCGCTTATGATTACCGGTAGGCTCACGCTATTGCAGCAGTGGCACAAGACAAGACGAGGATGGAATTCTTTTGAACTCCTTGCGCAATTGAAGCTGAATTAGCTCCCGTCTTCGTCTGCATTCGAATGCCGACGAAGACAGGATGTCCTGTGCGAAACCACATTTTTACTTCTTGCGTCCTGTCTGTCCCACATAAAATAGAACGCAGATGAAACGGGGAGTGAGTTGTGAAATCTCTCTATTGTAGCTCCAATCCACCCCATCGCGTATCCGGTTTCTTATGCGGTCTGCAAAATCATCTGGCGCAAGATGAAGGATTCCGAAGACGGCTCTTCTAGATTTGTTGTGCATGGTTTTGTCGTAATCCTGTTGGCTCTAAGCCCAAGATCGCATCACTTTCGAATTTCCTCTCGAAAAGCTATGTCCACGGTTCCATCCACGATGCGCGCCTTGATGCTCGTCGAGCGCGTCAAGAGCTTCACCCAGCCCGACCTCGCTTCGTGCTTTGAGGTCCAAAACGTCCCTGTGCCCGTCCTCGGCGCCGACCAAGTGCTCGTCAAGGTCGCTTGCAGCCCCATCAACCCGTCCAACTTGATGCAATTGCAAGGTCTGTACGATAACTTTGGTCAGATGCCGCTCCCGCAGGTCACGGGCGGCGAGGGCTCTGGCACCGTCGTCGCGGCCGGTGACAGCGCCTACGCCCAGTCGCTCATCGGCAAGCGCGTCGGCACGGTCGCCAACCCCGCTGGCATGTGGGCCGAGTACGTTGCTGTCTCGGCCGCCTCGTGCATCCCGCTGAC